TTGTTCTTCAGTCTAGTTGTGGACGTTGCTTCACTGGCCCAAGTTGGCACCATCGTTGCGCTCTTCCTGAGTGAGGCAGATCAGTCACTGGCTTCTGGATGGCCGCTCACGCTGGCTGCTGGCTATACACGGTAGCCCATGGCAACCCACTGCCACAGGGGCTGCAGCCTATGCCGTTGCCAGCGACTCATGGCAGCCCAGCTCCAGGTCAAGCTGTTGTTCAGCATCTTAGCTGTAGAGGGCAGTGTCACTGGCCCTCATATGTGGGATCCGAACCGGGGTCCTCTGGCGTCCCAAGCTAGCTCTTAACCAATGCGCCACTCGGCCGGCCCCATCACTTTTTTAATGGAAGGAAAATCTGCTTTAGGGTCTTCTCTGTGGAGCTGGCTTGTAGTTGGCTTTCTGTCTGGCAGCTCCAAGGTCTGAGAGTGGGGAGTAGTGAGCTCTAGCATTTATTGATTTCTGTAGAAACAAACCCGGCATGGCCTTAATTGCTCAGAACACCCTGAATGATTAGTCTAAAGACTGTAAGGTTGTTAACCTGACTTCTGGTCACATGACCTGGAGGGTCACAAAGGACAGGAAAACGTATTTTTAGTTGAAGGATAGAAGTTTTTACTTGAATTTGGAGTTATAAATCTAAACTACATCTTGTTAATATTGTACCTCTTTCAATATGAGGGATTTCAAAATTTACAATTTAACTCATATACCCTGAAATTCTACCAATTCAATATTTGCTTAAGTTTTAGTGAACATTAGACAAAATAGCTGATAGCTCTGCCACAGGAGTCAGTCATAATTGGCATTAATCAGTAAAGTAAGATCCATTTTTCTCTCAACATTTAGTGATGATAACTTGGGGGCATGAGGGGTTTGATGAGCCGTGAAGGGAGGCAGTGCTTTGGAGCATGAAGCACTTTGGCTGGAACGGGTCTGAGTGAGCCATCCCTGATGCAGGGAGGCATGTTCCCAGGTAACAGAATTTAGGGCAGTATTGTAGATTAGCTACATTGTAGATTAAATCAAAGTAAGTAGGCTAGTCTGGGAGTTTAATGTTTATATTGTTGCCAAGGTCTCTTGGAGCTATGACTTTCCATGATTCAGTGACATTGTTTCTATGTGTCCTGAGTTTTAGACAACAAAATTACAAACTTTTGTAGCCTAACCCAGTTCTGTGCTGGAAGTTAAGAAATGCTTACTGACACATTTGTAAAAAATGATACATTTCTTATGTGTCAGATTCCAATCTAAGTGCTTTCAATGTTAACTCATTTAATTCTTATAAGAAGATACTGATATTATCTGTCTAGTTTTACAGATGAAGCAGCTGAGGCATGGAGGTTAATAGCTTGCCAGGGTTACACAGTTGGTAAGAAGTGGTACTAGGAGTTAAATCTAGGAAGCCTGGCTCTAGAGGTGATGTCTCTTAAACATTGTCCAAAGTGTCTGTAGTTTCCATGCACGGGTTTTATAGTTTTTAAAAGTATTTTCAACTATTTTTTCTCATTTATGCCTTAAAAATTACTGTGAGGTAAGTTTCAGGAGCTGAGTGGAAAGAAACTATGGAAAGTAGAAAATAGCTTAATGGGAATTCAGTAGAGGAACTCAGTGAAGCTGAGGACTAGAGTTGGAAAGATATTTATAATTGACTTTGAGAAAATTTAAAAAATTAGATGTACATTGTTATGAGCAGTATTTACAAGTTTACTGTTCAGCTACTTTTAAAATATATTTTCAATTTCAGCTCTTTATTCTTCGAGGGAGGGATGAGTTTTTCAGTTGCTTGTCCGTGAAACAGTATGTTTCTAAATGGTGATAGAATGATCAAGACTTTTCCTTACATATAAGAAATGTTCTGTAGATGTTAATTGATTCTTCGTGGGTATACGTGAGAAAGAGCATTATGAAGAAAATGAGTATTTGAGTTTTGAGAATTCTGAATCCAAAATTCCATTCCTGTGATAATGGCAACATCACAAACTGTCCCTGGGACATAGCTCTATAACATCATAGCATAGGTACCTGATAAATATTTACTGAGTCCCTACAAAGGGTGCCCTCTTCACACTTGGTAATCAAATACTGCATGTGACCAGGGGGGGGGTGGAAAAGACGTGTTATCTTCATTTTGTGAATAAAGCAACAGATAAAGAGGGAAGAAAAGGCTAACAGTAACTAAAGTGGTAGACAGGCAGGAGAGTTAAAAACCACTAAGGCCATGTATTGGGTTGTCGGAAAAGTCATGAAGTATTTTGTCTTATGTTTTTCAAAGGTCATTTATTTATATAAAGAACAAAGATCAATCAATGATATATTGCCCATTTTGTTCGATAACCTTTTACCATCTTTCAGTGAGCTTCATAATTAATTCCTCATTCATAGAAACCCTGTCTTTATTTGCAAAAAACTGAACAAGGTGCTGATTTACAGCCTCATCTGAATTGAATGTTATACCACGCAAGGAGTTTTGAAGAGAGCGAGTCAAGTGGAAATCTGACAGCACAAGGTCAGGCGAGTATGGTGGGTGTGGCCACACATCCCATCCAAGCTCCAATAATTTTTGATGGGTGATCAAACTTATGTGTGGTCTCGCGTTGTCGCGTTGGAACACAACTCCTTTACAATTAACAAGCTCTGGACGTTTCTGGATAATGGATTCATTCAAACTGTCCAATTGCTGACAGTACACATTCGAATGGATTGTTTGGTTCCTTGGTAGGGGCTTGAAAAACACGACACCTTTAAAATCCCACCACACTGAGAGCATAACCTTCCTCTGATGAATGTCTGCTTTCAATGTCGTTTGAGGCAAATCATCACGTCGGAACCAAAAACGTTTGCACACCACATTGTTGTAAACAATCCACTTCTCATCACCAGTTATCAGGCGCTTCAAAAAAGGATAGTTTCCCTCACATTTAATGAGCATATTGCAAGTGTTTATACACGCCATCAAATGAACTTCTTTGAGTTCACGCGGAACCCAAATATCGAGCTTGCTTACATATCCCCAGCTTCTTCAGGTGGTCATGAATGCTTGAATGATGGATGTTCAATGTTTCTGCAATCTCTCGTGTTGTGTAACATGGGTTTGACTTGATCAATGCCTTTATTTTGTCGTCATCAACTTCGGTGGGCCTCCCTGAATGAGGAGCGTCGTTGAGATTAAAATCACCAGCACAGAATTTCGTGAACCATCGTTGGCAGTGACATTCTTGTAGCGCAATGTCACTGTAAACTTTGTGCAACTTTTCACAAGCTTGACACCCGTTCTTCCCTTTATGGGAGTAAAAGAGTAAAATATGGTGAAAATGCACAGTTTGTCCTTCCATCTTCAACTTGTTGTAAAATCTTCAAAATGCAACCAAATCACTCAATTTTTTTTAGAATGAAGCTAGAACTGTCAGCTGTCAAATGACATAGCAAAGTCATAGATGCGAATGACTATAGTACTTTCAAAAATAACTAATGCCATGTGTTGCAAACATGCATCATGACTTTTCCGACAACCCAGTAATTCTCCTATCAGACCCTTCTCTGCTTAAGATGTTTTAGAGTCAGCATATGAAGAGCTATCAACATGGCCATGGTAGAATCATTGGTAACCATGTCTTGCAGAACTCACAAATGGGTAGATAAATGCTCAAATGAAATCATAGGTTCTCAACCAGTTTTTTTAAGTTATACTAAAACAGGAGAGAATTGCAGAGGTCCAATTGCAGCTCCCATAGGAAGTATGCAGATACTACAACAACATCTTGAGGAATCACAGTGGAGAAATAGTCTTCCAATCTTACACATGGACACCTTACTGTGCTTCTTAGTGACATAAGAAGCAGAATAGTTCTGAAAAGATCTGTAAACGCACAGAGAAGTTTTTTAAAATCTGTAAAGGTCTCATGCAGAAGCTGCTTCTAGCCAGGAAATAATACAAGAGTAACTGAAATTGTAATCAGAGTCATTGAGGTAGTGTTAACGTGCAATGTGAACTCAGGAAAACAAAGACACTCTTGAAGAAAAGTAATAGGGGAGGATTTTAAAGTCCCTATAAAGATAAGAAATACTTTACTGAACTCAATTGCAGGACTCGCTGAGATGCTAAAGCAATTTTCTGTTGGAGTTTTTATATCTGGGAGCATTTTGGTCAGATGCTTTACTAAGTGGTGGAAATGAAATGAATAGTTTGAGGAAATATAATTTTATCACCATTTTCATGGCTTTATTAAAAAACAGAAAGGAGTTGTCAGTTAATTAATCCAGTTGTAAAGACTAATTCAAGTGTATGAAGGGCAGCCACTGCAAGAAGAGTGATGTCTTAAAATTATGTGAAAAGCAGCCTTATAGCTTTGAAGCAATGCTTTGTGAGTTATTAAAAAAATTACGTATATACCACAGGTCTTTGGGTAACAAAACAAACATACTTATTGATGTCCTTGAGGAACCCTGAGATGCAGTAGAATTCAGAATGTCACCAAGTGAATGGTGCAGGAATACTGCTTAGAATTGACAAGCAGCAAAGTGATTGACAAACACAGCCAGTGGCCTCTGATTTCTCTTTAATGTCAGCTTTTTTTTTTTATGTGTGTATTAAGTAAAAGAGATTTATTTGTTTTGGAAATCCTCATATAATATATTTAAGTTTGGAACCAGTGGAGCTTATGGTTAAGTTGGTTACACTGGAATCAGACAGCTGTCAATTCAAATGCCAGCTCTGTTCCTTTCTCGCATTATGAAATTGGGCAAGTTACTTCATCTTTTTGAGCCACAGTTTATCTGTAAAACGGGAATAAGAATTTCCAGAAGTTTTATATCTCTATTAGGAATGCAGTGTCAATTATTTTATTGTCTTTTTTTCACTTTTTGATGTACCCTGTGGTGGTAAAATGCGTTTTTTGTCTTGTATATTTGTACTCTATTTTCTAAGTTGGATTGTCAAGGGCAAAGGTGACTGCCTTTTCCCTCCACAAGTCCTTACCCAAGTTGCCTCTGTCTTCCAGAATCCCCTACTTTGAAACCAGTGCTGCCAATGGAACAAACATAAGCGAAGCAATTGAGACGCTCTTGGATCTGATAATGAAGCGAATGGAACGTTGTGTGGACAAGTCCTGGATTCCTGAGGGAGTGGTGCGATCCAATGGTCACGCCTCTACAGATCAGCTAAGCGAAGGAAAGGAGAAGGGGACATGTGGCTGTTGAAAAGTCAAGTGAGCTACACAATAATTCAGGTGGCCCTTGTCTGGAATCTTCTCAATGGGTGATACATGGCACAGAGAGAGATTAACGGGCATTGTGTACAAACTGCTACTCACCATCCCAATTAGACATATCAGTGAAGCATCCAGCTTTAAAGTTAATTTGCTGCAGCTTTGTAAATATTTCTTTAAGTCTCAGCCTGAGAGTTAGGAGAAATGTCACTCATAGCCAAGAGTGCCTTATAAAACCTTAGCCCATGGCAGTAGATCAGTCAAGGATTCAGGATTTTTGTAGCCACAGCAGAGTGCATTTATTATGAAGAATGACTAAAGATACTGTCACCTGCCTTACCATAGATAGGTCCAGTGCATCACATTCAAGGTCTTAGATGCAATTATAAAACTATCAGTCTTTAATTCGAATTTTAAAACCCTACGTGTACCACAGGCGACCTCCTAAAAGGCCATCTAAATCACTTGACTATTAAACAAGAATACACACAAACATCGATTCAGTGTCCTTGAGTGTTAATTTATGTAAGCTTTCTCTTTAAAATGAATGTTGGACGTATTATGGCCATACCTATAGACCTTGGATAAACTGGATTGACCAATAATATAGTCACTGCGACCCCTGTTGGTAGGAAAGGGGTTGGGGGTGAGGGTAGGGGTGGCTTAATGTAGTATGAGCAACTGAAGTGGGGCTTCTGGCTCCCTGCTGTATTCCCAGTGCTCTGAAGTTTTGATTGAAGGGTCCAGGAACCAGGTTTTTATGGCTTTAGTCCACTGTGATCTGTGCATTTTATACTTGGCCTATGTGCTGGCCACGTCTGAACATAGCTGGTGCTTATGCTGAAGTTATTTGTAATAAGTAAATATTTGGCTTCTTTTTCTTCCTATTTATAATGTTGGTCTGGCATCCTCACACTGCAGTTTCAATTAGCACGTGGACTAATCTCTCTTCACCATCAGGCTCTGTATCGTTGATATTTGCAACTTGTTTTATTTCTACACCGGTGGCATTGAAGGAATTAGTTTTTAATTATGTAAAATATCTGTTTGCTATTTGGTGGAAGATAGCTGTTTGTAATTAAGCAGTCACATGTGTACTTTAGCTCAATATAAGAAAAATGAAGTATTCTATAACCTGTATTTTTCATTGAGATCATGGGATTTGCTATCCTTGCTGGGTCTTGCCAAGGTCATGTATTCTTTTTGTTTTGTTTTGTTTTTTTTAAGATTTTTATTGGGGAATTGGGGGGATGGGAACAGTGCTGGGGAATTGGGGGAAGGGGAACAGAC